TCTATTTTTACATCCACTCTAACGATGCAGGACACATTTGTGCAGCCTTTTCCAGGAATTCTATGAATAGCTCTTCAGGGAAACTTGTGCGCCCTGTTGGAAAAGTACCACCTACATACAGCAGGTAATGGTTGCTGCTCTTCTGTTTTTGCTCATTATTTATTGATATGCTATCAATTTGCAGTTGTTACTTGTGCTATAATTATGAACTTTCAAGGTGCACTCATTTATTTCAGAGTGGCCTGTACCTGCATCTGTGGTCTTTCTTTAGCCATGATTACACTCACTCTAGCGGACATTTTGAACCAGCTGTCGGTTCGAGGTGACCGCAACAATCTGTTTGTCTGCTGACAGACAAACACTCGATGCCCTTGTTGCCTTTGTTGCTGACACCTGAACTCAACTGAACTGAACTGAAGCAAAGCAAAGCCAGCCGAGACAGCCTAGGCAGGGAGAAAATGTACGCGAACTGTATACAAATGCCACGCCCATGTGCCCAAAAGCATTGAAGGCGTGCGTTTGATTACCCTGTTGCCTTGTTATTGGCTCGCGACAGCAGCTTTGATTCCCCACAGCGGACAGCTGTGGGCGTGGCTGATTGCCTGCCTGACCTGCCTGGGCTGTCTGGGCTGCCTCTGTGGAGCTGCATACATATGCAATATGTTAGCCTATAGACTTTTGGCAAATGCAATTGCCGTTGCCTTTGGCCCGTGTGCCTGGCCCACCCCGTTGCAACATCCGTTTCCGTTTCCGCTGCATTGCATGTGCCTCCCGTTCAGCTGCGTGTGTGCTTGTGTGAGCGCGCGCGTGTGTGTATTTGTGTGTATTCGTGCTGTGTTTAATTTCGATTTGGATTGCCGCCTGCCATTGACTCACTCATCCGCTTGCCACTGTTTGCAACTGCCACCAGCAAATTGTTGCCAACTCATTTCCGATGATTGGCAGCATTCGCCCACTTTCAAGTCCATCAATTCCTTTAAGGATTTGCCGCTGCCGCTTTTGACCTTTGTTGTAATCCGCAATGTCCTGCATTTGCCAATTGCCAAAGATTCAACTGTCATAAAAAAAGACTTCACTTTTATCACACCCTGAAACGAAAACAAGAGCTCAGAAAAATTTGCTTACATTATAAATCGAATAGGTTCCCGGATTATTTATCCCTGTGGATCGCACCTTTGAATAAAACCAACCAATCCAACCATCTCTTCTTCAATAATGCATTGGTTGCAGGAAACTTAAACAACGGAGTGAAAATAAGTTGGTCAAACCACTTTATTCATCTAAACATATGTTTTATCAACATTTTAAATTTTAAAATAAATGACAAACCAAGATTCGCAACAAATCCTGGATTCAACATTTCGGAAAACAGGTTCGAGCATTGAATCTTGGTTTGCAGCCCAGCTTTGAAAATTTAAATTCGTACAGAATTGTGAACTGTTTCTCGAACCAGAGTTGATCATGATAATCATTATCATCAGTATATATCGCTTTTTTATTGAATATGGGTTCCATTTTTGGCCTTTTAAGCTTTTACCTTTAGATGAATCGAAAAATACTTTTGGAAAAAGGACTAAATCAAATCGAAGGAGGAAGCGCGATTAAAATTTTCTACATTCAAAAGACTATGCAGATAAGCAGCCCCTTAGTATATTTACAGGGTTTACCTTGTGCTGAAATGAATCTTATTTTGCGGTAACTTTGCATGTCTTTGCCTCTATGTTGGGTAGATTGGGTTGCCCGGACAGCGGCATTATTAAATATGCCGCCTACAGCAAAGCCAGCTGCAATTGCAGCTCATGCTGTTTGTTGTTTGTTGGCATAGACTCTGGTGTCGCCGGTGACAACAGTAGCCAAAACAACAACTACAAACACCAACAACAACGACAAAGCTGATTGCAATAATGACGTTGAAAAGGCAACACACAAGTCAAGCCAAAAGCTTGGGCCAACAAATTTTTCACATGCAAACAACTGCGAAATTTAAATCTGTATACGTGCCTAGGAACATGTGTGTGTGTGTGTGTGTGTGCTGTTTTGTGAATTATTAGATTGCCTGGAAAAATGCTGGCACGGAACAAAATAGGCGACGTTGAGCTGAAGAACGACCATGTTGCCGCCTTTTTGCCAACTTAATTACTTTTGAAATAGTTGAGTGCACACACTCTCACACACACACAAACACAAGCCCAGGCACATGAATGATGGCAATTGGTGTGTGTCTGGCTGGATGGATGAACTGAGAAGCCAGTTAGTCAAACAGAGACGATTGAAACGGGCTCGGGCATGAGCACGAGCACGGGCACGGGCACTGGGGCTATTGGATCCGACGTCCTGGCTGGAGGACTCCTGTTACGCGCGCCGCTCACACATGCCCGGGGCGCAGGCTATTATTATATTTATTAGTGGGACAGGCAGGAAGTCTTATTTAACGCAGTTGACGTGCAGCTACGTAACGTTGCTCAAATGCATTTTGATAATGGATTTTGCATAGACGCCGTCGCCTGCCAAGCTCCGCCCTCTGCCATTGGGCAACTCAATTTTCGTACAGCAAAGATAACATAATAAAAACAAAAACAAACTTGAATATTGTAGATTATAAGCTCCACGCTGAGCCATGTGGGTATAGCTACAGCACACAGCTCAGGAGATTGAGAACAAGGCACAATGTTGATTGAGTTGATGATGAAATCAAGAGCGCTCAAGAGTATCAGTTAGCACGGCACAAAGATGAAAACGTGTTTAAGAAATTTAAAGATGTTAAGGCTTATGTAGCTGCAGGAAAAGCTATTTAAATGGACATTAATTCTTTAAAAGTATATGCAATACACATTCTTGTTAAAAACAAAGAACTTTCCTGCCCTAAGTAGATGAGCTCTTTGAATGGAGCTACGTTAATCAGTCAGCTCTTTTTAATAAAAATCTTTTTATGCACATTTTTAAAACATTTTGTTTAAAGTTTTAGAAAATGATTGAAATGATGCAGGTGCATTAAGTATATAGTATTTTGAATCAATAGCGCACTATTTAAGCCGAATATCTGCACAAATGGCTGATTTTTTTTTGGTATTTGTATATATTTATATTAAAAACAGTTTGATTTTTTTACATGAAAATTGACAGTTTGTTTGTGGACGAGCTAGCTTTATCTGGCCAAACAATGCTTTATGTGAAAGCAGGCTCTACATATGCATGTGCTATATTGAAAGCATTTCGCTGACGAGTTTTCAGTTCGCACACTAAACGAATGAATCCATGGCAGGCTGAATGAATACTGCTTTTGAATGGAACCAGATGCGAATATGCATGCATTCATTCAACATTCAGTTTGTTGAAACATCAACCTGCAGCTTATCAGAGCTGATGTCAAACAATGGCAGCAACTAATGGAAATTGCAGCAGCAGTAAAAACAATTACGAGCCCAAAGCCTGGAAAGATGAATGAAAGCGGAATGGGGCGAGCTGTTGGACTGGCTATTAATCTGTTTGTTACCATAGTTATGCGAAATGGGAGCAAAAAAAAAAAAAAAACAAAAAAAGAAAATGGGAACAAAAACTGGTTCAAAAAATAAGCTGCTTCCGAAATGTTTTATTTGATGCTGGGCACGCATTTGTGTGCGCGCGTGCGAGAGTGTGTGTATTTTTACCTTCATTGAAAAACAGTAAAAGCTATAAAAACAAAAAGAGAGTTGAAGAGAATAAAGAGTGCCAGAGAAAAGCGCCTCAAAGCAAGCGCAGATTTGAAAGCTAGAAAAAAAAATAGATGACCAGGCCATTTGATGGGAGGAACTTAATCCAAAGTAACTCATGGCCAACAGATGCAATCTAAGTCAGAGCAAAATCATTAAATCAATCCGTCAATTGAGGCCGCTTTGCTGTGCATACTTCAGCTGGCCATTCATCAAAATGCCAATTGCCAACTGGCAACTGGCAACTGGCAACTATCTGCTGCCTGCTGCCTCCCCCTGGCAATGGCAACTGTAATGAACCATTTAAGACATCGCTGAGGTTTAGCTGCCGTCAACATGCATGTCTCTGCTTAGCTGCCCAGGTCCGCCTAATGAGTTCAGTTGTCTCACTTGATTGCCACATGTGCCGCCTGATGTTGTAGCTCAGTCATATCCATAGTCAAATGAGACTCCCCTCTCACGGTTACTCCCTATATGGCTTTTTTATCGCTTAGTCCGCCCACAAATCATTGAAACGGGCTTTGGGCGGTGGGCTTCACTTGTACAATGTGGCGTATGATTAATGTCTTGTTGTCTTTTCTGCGAGTCGAGTCTTTGCCACTTGGCCCAGACACATTAAGCATACGCACCGCTGCAATTGATTCTGCACAGTGCAACGGGCGTCGTGATAAAAAATTCCCTGTTTTACTGAGGTTTCTATCGATAAGCTTTGAATAGTGGAAATAGTATTTCGCTTATTTACTGTACACAGAAAGTGAGCACAAGAATACTAAATCCAGATATAGTTAGAAAAGTGACATATAAATTTGTTAGAGAACGTTCCTAATATGATTTTCGATCGTGTCGATATACATATAAGTGAGAACACATTACTTGATTATAAAGCTACATTCTTATTTGTATACATTTGCCTCACTGTGCCTTTTTGAAACACTTTGCTAGCTGTTGGCTCAGCAATTAAAGCAACACTCTACATAGACACACCCACCCGCACACTCATACACCCAACACTCATCTGACAGCTGGTCAGTTGCATGTTGTCCCCGTCTCGAGTGGCAGCGACTGTTGGCCGAGAGTGTTTGCAGCAAACGTGACATGAATGTTTGTTTATCGCATTGATAAGCACTCACGCCCCTTGTCCTGGCAAATATGAACGTAAATTTATATACATATGATTTGTTTGCAGCACCGAACCACAGCACATATACTCACATTTAGTGTGCACATGCCCATATTTGTAGATATTTTGAATTGATATTTATGATACGATCATCTAATCTCTGGTCCATTCGTATTTGCAAATATTCGCAGGCCGCCTCGCCGCGCTGGGAGCCACAGATAGCCGTGCTCTGTGAAGCCGGACAAATCTACCAGCCGCAATATCTATCCGAGGAGGGGCGCTGGGTAACGGACCTCAGCAAGAAGACAACGGGCGCCACATGTTTGCGTGATAAAATGGATTTGCTTGATTATTGCAAGAAGGTAAGTAAAGAGATTGCGATTCGAATTGAAATCCAAGTGGAATGAAAATGCCAAGTGTATTGTGGCTTGAGGCGAAAGGATGCAAGGTGGCAGAAGTGGTCCTGGTTTTGGTCGGAGACGTGTTTGTAATGCGCTGCTGATTGAATTGAAGCCGCATGAAAATTGCTATTTGCAATCACTATTGCATTTACTTTGCATATGAAAAGTATGCAGAGATTGCGCATACGCCACGTGGCCCCATTGCAAAATGTAATTTTATGGCCACGCTAACGTTCAAGTGGCTAGCCGGAAGCTGCACCAACAGCACAAGCAGCCGCCCCAGTAGAAGCACTAGCAGTGGCTTCTGCGGCCTGGCAACGAGGGCAGTAAGCATCTTCCATGCTTCACGCCAGCCGCAGCCCCCATCTCAGGAAACACTCAAAATGCAGCAGCAACATGAAAGGCAATAAATCAAAAGAGGCAGCAAGAGCAGTATTTCGTAGGCATATCAGGCAGAACGCATTGGGGCAGTTAACTCTGTAGTTGGATGTGTGTGGAGCATCAACAATTTAATTTGCGCTGCGTTGAAAGCGTTTACATTGAGACAACATTAAAAGACACTTAATTAATTTTCCATTAATTTTCGCTTTTTACTCTTTGCATACGCTCGTGCATTCCCTTTCCCCATCAACTGATACACACATCACATTACGCATACGCCGACTGTGCCGCCAGCGACGCCCTCATAAATTGGCATGCCATTGGCGTTGACGACAGCCTTTGGCTTTTTAATTAAATTCCACTAGCCCTCCACTCGGCTAATGTAGCGTTTTTCTCTGACGTGCATCGAGCACACGGCCTCACAATAGTCCATCGATTGAGGGGAAAGGAGGGTGTCGAGCGTTGAGAGACGAAGCATGCCACATGCTCCTCCGGTTGACACCGACGACAGTGTTAAGTGAAATGCTACGGCAAATGAAATCAAAAGGCAGAATCATCGAGTGCATTCATATTTATGCTCTTCAGCAACAACTCGAAAACAATATGGATGGAAATATGTGAATGAATGAAAATTGCATTTGAGTCTCTATCCATATGTGTGTGTGTGTGTTTGTGTAAGTGCTTGAAGGCAAGTACGCGAGAGTTATATAACAATGTTATTGCTAAACTAATTTGTTTTGAATTGCAAATCAATTGATTACAAAGCAAACGATTCTTACATTAGATCTTAACTTATATTCCAATTTAACAATATGCACAAGTTGATGTCTCAATTGTTTAAACCCTCAAGTGACTTCGTTAAGCTATGTATGTTGCATTTGTCTGGTATTATCAAACGTTAGAGGCTCAGCCTCAACATTATGTGGATGTTTCTAATGAGCCTTGCGGGCTGTCAAAACTGTCACACTTGATTTCGACACGCAAATTTGTTGCGACCTACTGCTGTTGCTGACACTTTGCCACAACATAAATCAAATTACACATACACGCACACACGTACACTTACGCAGAAATAACGGGCTCATATATATGTGGGCGCATATATGGCTGGCTACATTTGGTTTTGCGGCAAATATTTTATTGGCTTTACATTTGCATTTTATTTTCACCCGGTTGAAAGTTGCCAGTCTGCAATTTACGTTGTTTATTTCAAGCGTGTTTTCTTTCTTCTCCATGTTTGCCATATTTTATAATTATGTTAATTTATTTATTATGCTTAATTTATATGAACATGTTACTGATGACATCGCCTCGCCTGCCATCGTTGCCAGTGGACAAAGCAAATTGTAATAAATTGCAATATACGCGCAATCATAATAATAACCATATCAAATAGACAATTCAAGAGGAACCCGATTAAATTGGCTTTGTTTCAAGCAACAATAACAATAATTGCGGAACATGGGCCAAATACGTGCACATTTAGTGTTTTAATCAATTGCAACAATATCTATTCAAATAAGCAAACATACTCATTTCACAATTCTGACTACTGACTGCAAAACAATAAAGAATTTCCAATATTCAAATATTAGAATTTCTCATGGGCTGAGTAAACAACGAATTTAAATTTTATGCTACCAAGCTAAACCGTGCGGAAATCTTCTATCGACCAGCCCATCAGAATCCAGTGATAGCAAGCAACAGCTGCACAATCAGCTTTGTTTTGAATTTTGCCTTTTTTCTCAGCAAATTGAGCATGCTATTCTTTTGGCAGTCCATTGGTAGAGCAAACACAATGGAGGCCACTCAGCATGCGTCTATTAACTGAAAGCCACACAACGCGGCGTATGCGTAATGCGCAATGGAAGCACTTGCCAGCGAATGCAGAGTGCTTTTAGCAGAAGATGCAGCAACTGTATGCGAAGTATTTGGCCCATGTTTTTGCAATTGCTGATACAGCCGAAATAGCCGAAACATAGACAGCGATAACAACGACTAGAAATTGCCAGAGCCAAACAAATCCCAGCAGCTAGCCAGTCCAGTGCAGAGCTGTTGCTGCTTTCTCTGCTGCTGCACAATTTCCGTCTGCCGCCGCCTGTGCTGATTTTTCACGTACACGCAATTTTCCATTCGAGCATTTTGTTTGGCTTTGGCGCAGACTATGGCCTCAACAGCCTTGAAACGCGCCACTAACGAACCCAACAGCAAATTTCGACTCACAAGGACTTGACTATACTCTGATTGAGAAACTGTCCTCATATGATAGCGTTCACGACAGCTGCTCATACATATATATATATATATATATATAAATATTTTATACGATTCAACCCCTTCTTGAATCAGTTTCCTATGTTCTTTTAACACATACTATTTATCGCATAATATATACTCTCTACTGATTGACTGACCAATTTCGAGGAGCTAATCATACATATGCTTTTTTATTATGGAAGATCTTTTAAAAAATATTATTGTGCTCCTTAAATTGGGCACAATGCACAGCTCTATGCATACTGGCATACCAGGGAACTAAAATGAAACTGAATTGTAGTCTACTTTTTAATCTTTGTTTTTATAGAGAATCAACACTAACTGCATTCCGCAGGTAAATTTATAATCTAAGTTATTTTAATTTTAATGCTTTTAATGTGGTTGGTTTTAATTTGCATCAGAGTGGAAAAAATACATGCCAAAGTTTTGATGGCTCTGAGTGAACCAAAAGAGATAGCGCGTAAAAGAGGGAAAGAGAGAGTGTGAGAAAAAGAGAGAGAGATGGAGAGCAGCTTGACTTGACTGGCGGGCAGCATTTGGTCTCTTTCATATATGCACAACTTGATTATAAACCCTTTATGCAGGGTATATAAAAAAATAAAAGCGTTTTCAAGCCGAGCTTCGGTGGCCATTAATGTCAAGCGTAGTGCAAAAAGCCAAATTGATGTTGCTGCAACGTGCAGCTTTGTGTGTGTGTGTGTGTGGGTGTGTGTGGGTGTGTGGGTGTGTACGTGTGTGTGTACGTGTGTGTGTGTGTGTGTGTGTGTGTGTGCGTGTATGTTTGTATGTACATTTCTTAAACACTTGCTTGCTTTTTAATTTGACTATTTTCATGCGGAGGGCGACAGTACCCTGACCCCAAACAAACAGGCACACGCATACAGCAGAGTTTACACTCAATTTACACACACACACACACACATAGAAAAAACAGAAGGCCACTGTGGATGCGGCGCATTCATTCCCCCTGCACTTCACTCATACCATTCGCACTTTTCGCACATTTATCCCCTCGACCGACCCTTTTTTACCAAATAAATCAAGCCGCACAAAAGTATGCTAGACATTTTTTCATTTTTTTCAACAGTCGTTCAAAAATTTTGATGGCGGTCGCAGAAAGAAATTAATTAAAAAAACACACACACAAAAGAACCTGTTGTCCTTTGTGATTGCTGTTGTTGTTGTTGTTGTTGTTGTTGTTTTTGTTGTTGTTGTTGTTGTCGTAGTCGCTGCTTGCTTGTTGCTGGTGCCGAGTTGCTGGTCACCAACGCGGTTGCGCTTTTGGGGTACGCTGTAGTTCTCCAAGTGCAGCAGAACAAATTCATTTCTGTATATGCATATTTAAATGTTTGTTTGTTTGTTTGTTTGTACGTTTCCCGCTTTGTTGATTTCTCTCACTGTATTTTTTTTTCTCTCGCATTATTTTGGTTTTCATTTCGCTGTTTGCATTCAAATGGAAATTAATTAATTTGCAGCTCCATTAACGTGAGTCAAACGACCAAACGACCAAACGACCGCCGACCAAACATGTGGGCACGTTTGTCCCTGGCCATTGGTTGGGTCGATTGAGGTCGCTTGGTGGAACGTTGTTTACTTAGCCGCATTGGTGTCAGGCTACCAAAAATCGTTGTTGTTTTCTAATTGTTTGAACAGTCACATTTGGTTGTTATTGTTGTTGCTGCTGCTGTTAGTTGGCTCTTGTTTGTTGTTTGGTTTTAGTAATGAGTTGAATTACATATTCCAAGCCGTGAGAGGTGTGGCCAAGCGTATGGCACAAGCTGATGTCGCTTTTGTACTCATTTGCATTGAACAAGCATTGATTTTTGGCCATTTTGCAAACAATATCTACAAATGTCCTGTCCCTATACACACGCATTTATAAAATATTTATTCAAAATTTACATTGTGTAATATCAGAGTTTCGTAATTTCTGCTGAGGCATTTAACTTATTCATTACCATTAAATGTAATATCATATTGTGTATTTTCTTTATATAAATTTTACAAAGTTCTTCAGGCATTTTCTATTGTGCTTAAAATATTCAATTACTTTGACTATGCAATATTTAACATACGTAATTTATTGCCACTGCTTTTATTTAATTAAAATCCAATTGTGTTAACCGCAAAAGTCAATTACTATTAAATATCGAAATTGAGAACAAAAAAATCCTTGATGCAGCTATTTGTTTCAAGTTGACCTCGGATAGGACATGACATCTAGATCAATTCCAATTGTTAAAGTTGCAATATACATTTATTTTAATTTATTTTAGACATTAATTAATATGCTCAAATTTTCC